GTTTTTTTTTGGCCTGGGCGAGTCTATTTTGAAGAAGTAATGTTAATATTTGGCTCTGTTGACTAATGAGTTTGCCAACCTCTGGTGTAGACCTTTGGAAAAACTGGATTAAGACTTTTTTTCCTTTTTCTGGATCTGCAGTATACACATCAGAGTACAACTCCCCCTAGTTTGATCTGAATTTCCATTTTTTTCTTCTAACAGTTTGGCATTTCATATGGATTTTTCATAATCCAAACTGATGATTTACATTGACCTTTCTTTTCCTTTTAGCTATGACCGATCTGGAGCTTGTCGCCCAATCTATTATCTTTATTTTTGCTGGCTATGAAACCACTAGTACTTCCCTTTCCTTCTTTATGTATCTTATGGCCATTCACCCTGATGTGCAGCAGAAACTGCAAGAGGAGATCGAGGTAACATTTCCCAATAAGGTAAGTGGATGATACCTGCAGAGGGAGGGAGGAAGTGAAACCTTAACAAGAATGCCTCCTCACCATTTCATAGGATAATTTTTGCAAAGAGCATAAGCATCAGTTCTTTATCTATGCTATTTAGGAAGGATGTAAAGTGATGAAAACAAAGAAATATAGGTAATGTGTACTTTTCACAGATTATAAGATCTTGGACAAAGTGCTTTTCCTGGCATAGCAGTTATCTGTTATCACAATAATGTCAAATGGAAAAAAAAAACCCCTCAGTGGCAATTAACAATAAACATTGATTGCTCAAGTGTCTGGATAATTATCTGTGTTGATATTGACTGGACTTGCTTTAGTCTGGCTCTTGGCTGATCTAGGCTGGCCTTGGCTAAGAGGCTGGGTGAATCAGCTTCACACAGGATCCACATATCTCCCATAGTCCAGACAAGAAGCCTGGGTATGTTCTTCTCAGGCAATGGCAGAGGGAAAGACCAATAAGCCCAATCATATGGGTGCCTTTCAGAACTCTGCTTGCATCACACTTAGCCAACATTCCATTGATTTAAAGCATGCACCATGGCCAACCCCAGCATCAAAATAGGATGGCACAAAGTTAGATGACTAAGGGCACGGACACACACAATGGTGGAGAACAGGTCCAAATAGTGTAATATACCAACCACCCTGGGTAAATATTCCAGACTAGAAGAAGCCTGACATACAGGAAAGAGCGTAGGGTAGGGAATAGAAGATAGACATTTGATTCCAGACTATGGTTTTGGACAGGTCATATGACCTTTCTGAGTCATAGGTCTTTCAGATATAAGGAAGATTTTAGAACCTATGTAATTAGAGATTATCTTTCTTCTCATGGAAAACTCACATTGGCATTCTTTTGATAGCAATAAGATGGAAAGGTCACTAAGACACAGAGACTAGCTAAATCATTGTGTTCTGCTTTTTTTTTTTTTAGTAATAATTAAAACACTATAACTAAACATTTGCTCCTTACTATATATGTCTATTCTAAAAATCTTGTATTTATAAATGAATTTAATCTTAACAAATTCTGTATTAACCAGGATAGGCTAGGTCGTGCCTTGGTAACAGATTGGTCCTGAAATCTAAATGGCTTTACATAGCAAAAGTTTACTTCTCATATTTGTACATAGAACATGGATTGTTAGAGGAGGGTAGGAATGGGAGTCTCTGCTCCACATAGTTACTCAGAAATATAAGCTAAAAAGGCCCCACTTTCTCTTTTTTTTTAAAAAAATATTTTTATTGATTTCAGGTGGAAGGGAGAGGGAGAGAGAGAGAGAGAGAGAGAGAGAGAGAGCCATCAATGACGAGAGAGAATCATTGATTGGCTGCCTCCTGCATGTTCCCTACTGGGAATCAAGCCCACAACCTGGGCATGTGCCCTTGACCGGAATTGAACCTAGGATCTTTCAGTCCACAGGCTGATGCTCTATCCACTGAGCCAAACCAGCTAGGGCAAGGCCCCACTTTCTCGTAGATGCACTTTCTGGAACACAAGGCCTTCATCTTGGTTGGGGAATAAAGAAATAGAGTGTTCCTCACTGGATTTTCAAGTGTTTTGACTTCCAATGAACATACATCACCTCAGCTCACAGCCCATTCTCAAAGCTGGTTCCCCCTAGCTTTAAGTGGGCTGGGAGATGTGGAGACTACGTGGGTATTGGGTGAGCAGTGATATCTCTGCCAAACAACTCTATGAAGTGTCAACTCTAAATATCTCCATGTAACATATCAGAAAACTGAGGTACTGAGAGGTGAAATAATTTTCATACACTATGAATTTATATTAGTTCACACAAACACTCCATCCATGCTTTTGTTCCGGCCCTCCGGTCCAGTTTAAGAACCCATTGTGGCCCTCGAGTCAAAAAGTTTGCCCACCCCTGCACTAGCCAAACCCTGAACCTCTACAGTATTGCCTCTTCAACATAACACCAAGTGATACCCACATATTGCCCACACTGTTTTCAGATATCTGACAAAACTGGAACTCTTTGTGGTAGGAAGAGACTGGCCTCTGGGGCTGGCGAGGCTTGTATGAGATCTTCACAGCTTACAGTCAAACCCTGAACAACAACTAGGAGACTGTTCCAGCAAGGCAGCATGAGGCTGAGTGGGGTTCCACCTCTTCATAACTTCTGCTAGAATGAAATTGTGTGCCTGGTAGCTAGCATCCCATCATACTCTTCATGTACCCAATCTGGTTTAGAAAGAAACCTATTTCTCATCAAGTTATTTATAACTTCTACATTATATAGTTGTTCTCTCCAAATCCTATATATAATCTAAAGGGTTGGCCCTAGCTGGTTTTGCTCAGTGGATAGAATGTCAGCCCGTAGACTGAAGGGTCCTGGGTTCAATTCCAGTCAAGGGCACATGCCCGGGTTGTGGGCTCGATCCCCAGTAGGGGTGTGCAGGAGGCATCCAATCAATGATTCTCTCTCATCATTGATGTTTCTATCTCTCTCTCCCTCTCCCTTCCTTTTTGAAATCAATAAAAAATATGTATATAAAAATATAGGATTTTTCAACTAAAAAACTTTATGTCAAATTGGGACTTTGCTTTTTTACTCATTCTCTTTCCTTGCTGCAGAAGTGTGGCCTCTCTTTTGAAAACAAAGTGACCTTAGCATATTCCATTTAAGAGTAGGGGTCATAGTCTATTAGTCACATGAGATTAAAAAAATCACTGTATGGTAAGGTGAGGGACTTCCGGTCCTGTTTAGGGTATTGTCCCCAACATCTCCCATAGTTATAACTACTCCATGTATCTCAATGGGCCGTTAAGCAGGTCAAAGGATATGATAGATATTAAAATGTCTGTAAGTCCTAAGGTCCTTTACTCAAATAAGTTATTCTTTGGTGCGCCTAACATTTCTATAAAACGACATAGACTGAGTTGAAAGTTGATCTCAAATCCCAGTTTATCAAAATCTGTTTCTTTCTTCCCAGGCAACTCCCACCTATGATGCCCTGGCACAGATGGAGTATCTTGACATGGTGATGAATGAATCCCTCAGACTATTCCCAATTGCTGGTAGAATTGAGCGGGTCTGTAAGAAGGATGTGGAAATCAATGGGGTGTTCATTCCCAAAGGGACAGTGGTGATGGTGCCAAATTTTATTCTTCACCGAGACTCTACGTACTGGCCAGACCCTGAGGAGTTCCGTCCTGAAAGGTACTGGACCCCTGGGAAAGGGAACCCACCCTCATCCAGGCCAGTTGGACATGTTCTGATGTCTTTTAGTATAGATGATGAACGTGTGGTTGTACAATCATTTGTATGCATACCTACTTATTTTTAGAAGTTTTTCTTATTACAAGAGTGATTATTATTTTACAGTTTCTAGATTAGATAAAAGAAAGTTGTATTTGTCTATAGTCCAAATACCTTAATATAGGTCTCATTAATAATGTGATGTATGTCATTATTGACATTTTCTATGCATATATAGATTTCTAAAAATTAGAATAATTGTATTTTATACTACTTTAACAGTAAACCATAAACTACATCCTATGTATAAAACACCATCTTATATAGGTATATATTTATCTGTCTGTGATTGTATACATATGCGATAATTTACTTAATCACTAATGATTTTAGAAATATAGGCTTTTTTTCTTTACGTTTTTCTGTGTTGTTCTCTTTAATCTGTGAATTTACCACCAATGTTCCTACATTCTATTTTTTTAAAACATTGGCTGCTGTTCCTTTAGCATAATTGGGAGAGCGCAGGCTGACAACCTGAGAGGTCCTCACTCCTGATGGTTTAAGCAGTCCCTTAAGGGTAGAGTTGAACACAGGTTCCCTAGTCTGTCTTTGGTTGCAGCCCTGGGCCAGCTTCTTCCTACTCTCAGTATTTGGTGACTTCCAAAGAGAAGCCATCTGCTCTCTAGACATTCTAAAACCCTCCTCTTTAGGGGTCGTGAGCATGTTCTGGGAATTCAGAGCCAAGTCTGGCTTTGGGCACAGCTTGAACTCTGGAAAGAGCTGATGCTTCCCATTTAGTGTATTGGTGAGCAAAATTGGAAAGAACTATTGAGGGCACTACCTTGGATCTAGACTTTTATTAACACAACTATACGATCCCTAATGGCATGGACCTTATCTCATTTGCCATGGTTTCCTTATTCTAGCATAGTGTCTACACACAGTACTTTTGAAGAAAGTTAGTTGACCAAGGCCTCTGTTTTCTGGAACAGGGGGCCTCTGTGGTTTCTCCAAGCTCAGCAGTTTCCCTCCTTGTAGCTTCATGAACATGAAATCGGGACCTTTTCTGTACTTCATTTTTAATTCTATTTATTGGGGTAACACTGATTAATATTATAATAATTTCAGTTGTACAACTTTATAATATAACCTCTGTAGATTTTATTATGTGATTACTATCAAAGTCTAGACTTCTCCAGTCACCTTGTATTTGATCTCTTGTACCCTCTTCATCTTCCTTATACCTTTCTTCCCCTCTGGTAACCACCATTCTGTTGTGTGTATCTATGATTTCATTTTTTGTTTATTTGTTGCTTTTGTTTTATATCCCATGTATGACTGAAATCATGTGGTTCATATCCTTTTCTGTTTAATTTATTTCACTTAACATAATACATTCAAGATCCATCCATGTTGTTACAATTGGCAATAATTCATCTTTTTATGGCTGAGTATTATTCCATTGTATATATGTACCATATCTTCTTTATCCAATTATCTGTTGTAGAACACTTGTTTGTTTTCATGTCTTGACTATTATAAATAATATGTTAATGAATACAGGGGTATGTGTATCTTTATGAATAAGTGTGTTCAAATTACAAAAATTTCACGTATATATCCAGAAGAGAGATTGCTGGGTCTTATGGTAACTCTTTTCTTAATTTTTTTGTGGAACCTCCATACTGTTTTCCATAGTGGCTACACCAGTTTATATTTGCACCAGCAGTGTGTTAGAGCTTTCTTTTTCCACATCCTCTACAATATTTATTTCTTGTCCTAACAAAAGAGCTGGTATTGTAATTTTTATTTGCATTTCCCTTATAGTTAGCGGTGGTAAGCATTTTTTCACATATCTGTTAGTCATCTTGTACTTTGCTTCATTCAGTCATCAAAGAGTAAGTGCTGACCATGTGTCAGAAAGTGGGCCAGGCTGTGAAAAATCCATGTTTTAAAAAATATACAAAAGTATATGTGTATTTAACATATAGAGAAACGTTTCCTATATACAAGTCTATAAAATACTTATAATGCATCTCTATGTGGACCTCCCTGCCTTACAGCAATCATGTCCACCCATGTCCACTGCCCCATCCATATGCCATCAATACCACCCTCCTAATTTCCACATTATCTTAAGGCATAGCATCTGTAAATATTTTCAATGTTCCCCAAAATATAAGAACTCTTAAAAAATACATAACCACAATGCCATGATCACTTTTCCAAAATACATATTTTTCCTTAAAATAACAAAACATTGAGGAGTCAAATTTGAATAAAGCATAGATCTACCCTTCAGAGAATTTATAGCCTAGTGCAGTGGTTGGCAAACTGTGGCTAGCGAGCCACATGTGGCTCTTTGGCCCCTTGAGTGTGGCTCTTCCACAAAATACCATGTGCGGGTGCTCACGTACAGTGCAAAGTTGACTTAAAACTTTAATTAAAGTTGCCCTGACCGGTTTGGCTCAGTGGATAGAGCGTCGGCCTGCGGACTCAAGGGTCCCAGGTTCGATTCTGGTCAAGGGCATGTACCTTGGTTGCGGGCACATACCCAGTGGGGAGTGTACAGGAGGCAGCTGATCGATATTTCTCTCTCATCGATGTTTCTAACCCTCTATTCTTCTCCCTTCCTCTCTATAAAAAATCAATAAAATATATTTAAAAAAAACTTTAAATAAAGTTTATTAAATTATTTTAGGGAACATTGTGGAGTGAAAGAAGATGTAGTGTCGAGGATAGAGAAAGGTATGTTGAGATGGTTTGGAACTATAGAGA